TATGAGTTGCTGTTCCTGCAACCTTCGGGTGGCATCGTTGTGGCACTACAGGAGGCCCAGGATGGACATGTCATCTGAGGAATGGGAGGGGGAGTTGAAATGGTTCGCGACTGGGAGGTGCAGTTGTTTGTTGCGAACCGAGCGTAGGTGTTCTGCAAAGCGGTCCCCGAGTCTCCGCTTGGTTTCCCCGATGTAGAGGAAGCCACACCGGGTACAGCGGATGCAGTATACCACATTGGCAGATGTGCAGGTGAACATCTGCTTGATGTGGAAAGTCTTCTTGAGGCCTGGGATGGGGGTGAGGGAGGAGGTGTGGGGGCAGGTGTAGCACTTCCTGCGGTTGCAGGGAAAAGTGCCGGGTGTGGTGGAGCTGGAGGGGTGTGTGGAGCGGACAAGGGAGTCACGGAGAGAGTTGTCCCTCCGGAAAGCAGATAAGGGTGGGGAGGGAAAGATGTCTTTGGTGGTGGGGTCGGATTGCAGATGGCGGAAGTGTCGGAGGATGATGCGTTGGATCCGGAGGTTGGTGGGGTGGTACGTGAGGACGAGGGGGATTCTTTTTTGGTTTTTATTGCGTGGACGGGGTGTGAGGGATGAGGTGCGGGAGATGTGGGAGACACGGTTGAGGGCGTTCTCGACCACTGAGGAGGGGAAGTTACGGTCCTTGAAAAACGAGGACAACTGAGATGTACGGGAGTGGAATGCCTCATCCTGGGAGCAGATGCGGCGGAGGCGAAGGAATTGGGAATAGGGGATAGCATTTTTGCAGGAAGGTGGGTGGGAAGAGGAGTATTCTAGGTAGCTGTGGGAGTCGGTGGGCTTGAAATGAATATCGGTTTCTAGGTGGTTGCCCGATATGGAGACAGAGAGGTCCAGGAAGGGGAGAGAGGTGTTAGAGATGGTCCAGGTAAACTTAAGGTTGGGGTGGAAGGTGTTAGTGAAGTGTATGAACTGTTCGAGCTCCTCGTGGGAGCACGAGGCGGCGCCGATACAGTCATCAATGTAACGGAGGAAGAGGTGGGGTTTAGGGCCGGTGTAGGTACGGAAGAGGGATTGTTCCACGTAACCTACAAAGAGGCAGGCGTAGCTTGGGCCCATGCGGGTACCCATGGCTACCCCCTTTGTCTGTAGGAAGTGGGAGGAATTGAAAGAGAAGTTGTTGAGTGTGAGGACGAGTTCGGCTGAGCGGATGAGGGTATCAGTGGAGGGGGACTGGTCGGGCCTGCGGGACAGGAAGAAGTGGAGTCCGCTCCACACACCCCTCCAGCTCCACCACACCTGGCACTTTTCCCTGCAAACGCAGGAAGTGCTACACCTGCCCCCATACCTCCTCCCTCACCCCCATCCCAGGCCCCAAGACGACTTTCCACATCAAGCAGATGTTCACCTGCACATCTGCCAATGTGGTATACTGCATCCGCTGTACCCGGTGTGGCTTCCTCTACATCGGGGAAACCAAGCGGAGACTCGGGGACCGCTTTGCAGAACACCTACGTTCGGTTCGCAACAAACAACTGCACCTCCCAGTCGCGAACCATTTCAACTCCCCCTCCCATTCCTCAGATGACATGTCCATCCTGGGCCTCCTGCAGTGCCACAACGATGCCACCCGAAGGGTGCAGGAACAGCAACTCATATTCCGCTTGGGAACCCTGCAGTCCAATGGTATCAATGTGGATTTCACAAGTTTCAAAATCTCCCCTCCCCCTACCGCATCCCAAAACCAGTCCAGCTCGTCCCTGCCTCCCTAACCTGTTCTTCCTCCCACCTATCCCCTCCTCCCACCTCAAGCCGCACCTCCATCTCCTACCGACCAACCTCATCCCGCCCCCTTGACCTGTCCGTCCTCCCTGGACTGACCTGTCCCCTCCCTAAATCCCCACCTGCACTCACCTTTACTGGCTCCATCCCCGCCTCTTCGACCTGTTTGTTTCCTCTCCACCTATCCTCTCCTCTATCCATCTTCTATCTGCCTCCCACTCTCTCCCTATTTATTTCAAAACCCCCTTCCCCTCCCCCTTTTCTGATGAAGGGTCTGGGCCCGAAACGTCAGCCTCTCTGCTCCTATGATGCTGCTTGGCCTGCTGTGTTCATCCAGCCCTGCACCTTGTTGTCTCGGAGTCAATGGGAATTAGGGAGAAAAATGCTCTACTGTTTGCAGTCATACCAAGCGCAAAAAGAACAATGGTTGTGGTTGCTGAAGGGCAGTCATCTCAGTTTCAGAATGCCTCTGCTAGAGTTCCTTAAGCTCATATCCTAAGCCCAACCATCTTCAGCATCTTTATCAGTGCCCTTCTCCCCATCACAAGATGGAAAGTGACCAGTTTGCTGATGGTTGCACCATTCACAACTCCTCAGATACTGAAGCAGTGCATGTCCAAATGCAGCCAGACCAGGACAATGTCCTGGCTTGGGCTGACAAATGACAAGTTATATTAGTGCCAAGCAAGTGCTAGGCAATGATTATCTCCAACAAGAGAAAATCTACCCATCACATCATGGCATTAGCATCACTGAATTCTTTCATTTACCCTTGCTAACAAATCCTTGGAGACATCCACCTCATGCAATTCTTCCCTCACCACTTAACAATTCATTTCATGAGATAGGCTTGAATAAAAGGTAATATCATTAAACCTTTATTCAAGTTTATACAACTTCATTCTGAAAATGTTTTGCTATAAATGTTCACTTTATAACTATACAGATTGCAATTCTGCAACAACCAGAAAATGTTGCTACATAAAAAAGGTGTAATTGACTACATGAAATTAATGTTATTGCTGCATTTAGAAAGTCATTTGATTTTTTTTGTTTCCTCAGATTCAATTTAGATTGTTACAATACTTGCGTTGATTCAGTAAAGACACATCACATGATTTTGTTAACCCTATCAACTTAGCACAAACACTACGGGCAGAATTTCACTTAAAAAAGTGACAATATCTGAATAAATACACAAATTAGCCAGCAACTTGTCAAAAAGGATAAAATGTCCATGAATTGTAAAGATGCTACCTTGTACATAACATTCCCATAATTTTGACAGTGTTCACATTTGCATATTAAGTCTCTCTACTGAAGGTCAAGTTTAATAATTAACCGCACAAGTATCCTCTCAATAATGCAAGTACTGTAAATGACTGTTAATGAACTTCTCTTGGCCAGACAGTGAACAATTATAAGTGTCGAGTGTTATTCAGTTTGCCAATGGTTATAATTTTTCAAAATGTCAAATATTGCATTTTTCTTTACAATTTTTCTTTCAATCTTTCATGTTTCTCCACATCTGCTTTGACAGTGAACAAATTTTAATTCACCCACCTTCAGTTTATATCTGAATACTTGAATCACATTGATTAAAAAAATAGCCTGTTCATTCATTGTTCGCTTAAGTTCCAGTTGCCCTTGCAGTGGCATCAGTGCACATTTTCAGCAATTTGGTGGGTAAAAATGACACAAAGTTAAATATGCCAAAAAGAAAATGTCCAATGTACACACTCTAGCAAAATCTGGCCCTTTTGACATGGAAAAGACTGTACTGCATTTACAAGTATTGTGCAAGTATTGCATACAAAAATTAAAAGGGGAAGCATATTGCAACACATATTTCAGAATCAACGGCTGGGAGATTTTTAAAGAGCTTGTACAGCAGATATGTACAGTCCTGGTCAAAGAGGGAAATTGTAAGCATTTCATTACAAGTGCTAAAGCATATACTTCAAAAAATGTCTCAATTTCATTTCATAATCCACTGATATTGCTGTCAAATTTGTATTGAATACTGCCTCCTGGTGATGGAATACAATTCCTGCCTCAAAGTAAAAGTCCTTTTTGGCAAATTTTACACTGTTCAATTTGATTTTTTTCCTTTTGTGCTCTTAACACAAAAATGCAACATTGCCATTTTAAATTCTGTTCATTCTAAACATTAAAATTATGCAATATATAAAAATACTGATATATTAAAATAATCTCAATCTTAAATTTTAGCTAAAAAAAAAAATCAATGACTATGCATAAATCTGAACTTTTTTTTTGGAAAAGGATTTATTGAAATGACTTTAAATACTTTTGTGATAGTTCTTCAAAGTCTATCTTACTTTCAGATATCAAGTTAATTCACAACAGAAAAACTAAACATTTGCGAAACAAACTTCAGATTTTTCTTCCATACTATAAATTCAATATGAATGCTAGCCATCACTGTTCACAATACGATAGTGATGGGCTAGATAAGGATCGCAAGAGTAACAAGCATAGCATAAAATATATTGTGATTAAATGATAGAATCCCGACAGTGTGAAAGCTGGCCATTCCACCCATCGAGTCCATACCAACCTTCTGAAGAGCATCCCAACCAGACCGCCCCCCCACCCAGTCCCTGTAACCTCACATTTCACATGGCTAATACACCTAGCCTGCACATCTTTGGACTGTGGGAGAAAATTGGAGCACCCAGAGGAAACCCACACAGACGGGGGAAGAATGTGCAAACTCCACACAGACAGTCACCTGAGGGTGGAATCGAATTCAGGTCGTTGGTGCTGTGAGGCAGCAGTGCTAATCACTGAGCCACCATGAATTCAAACAAATGACAAGAAGCATTTCTTTTGAGTGCCATCAGCCCAGTGACAGATTACATCAACATATGCTAAGTATGGGATCCTGACAGACACTCAAAAACGGAGCTGAACAAGCTTCTGACAGAAGACAATTCATGCTATAATAAGAATACCTGGAACTAGCAAAACTCATGAATTACTATGGGATTTGCTTGCATTTCAGGAATGAGGAGAAATTTCAATAAGGTCTTCCTAAACTGACTTTAGATATTTTTTCCCATAGTACCCAAAAAATTGCACAAATTCAGGACATTGGGATGATAGCCATGTTTGAAAGGCTGTCCAATTCTGAACAGAAAGACTTCGGTGGGACGTGTTTTCTTCCCATCGTTCTTTTCCATTTGCAGGCCTGTAAATTTATATATATATATATATATATTAATACTTGCTATATTTGAAGCCTATGGATAATAGGCTAACAGCGTAAAATTTAAATTTGTTTCAACAAAGTTTTAATAGTAAAAAAAATTGGCTGCTGCTGTTTTGGCAAATACAGGTTCACTCAGTTTGTCTCTTGCATGCACATGTTCTAATCATAATCATGTCCCATCTAGACAATTGCAGCAAACAGAAGCTAACTGCTGCCCCACAGGCAGGAAAGAGGGGAAAAACTTTTAAATATGAAAAAAATACATGACATACATACTAGAAATCTTTTATATTCCCTGCGAGTAGCACACTGTTTTCACACGCATGACAATGCCACTCAAGTCCTCCTACTGCACATAAACTTCCTCCACTTTGTATGAAGATGGCATTATTATTTAAAGGGTAGAATTGTGCAGTATTTTTAAATGGTTTACATAAGCTACGTGTGGTTTCTTTTCTGGAATTCACACGTTAAAGTATCAATTACTCTACGCCTGCAGATTTCTTTTCTCCAAAATCCATTGGTTTATCTATTTAAAACAGAATTCTGGAAATACTCTGATTAAATGAGATTTGAAAAGTGCAAAGGCAGACTGAAGTTTCAGAATAATCCCCGTCACTCTAGTGTTGATGATTTCTTGAAAAATTTACCCCTCTTTTCAGGTGCTGAAGGACAAACTAAGCATTTTCAGAATTTCCTCTTCTGATCTCTGAACTCCAGAATTTCCAGATTTTCTCTTTACATCTGCTAATAGAACATTTCACTTAGCCAATTTTAAGGAAGTAGAGATCTTTGATTTTGAAATCTGTCACTGCATTTTTACTTAATTGTGTAAAGTACAGGAAAACGAATTTTAAATAAACATCGATGGAAATTTGCAACTACACTTCATTATCAAGTTAAAGAAGGTTTCTTGACACCAAAATGTCTAAGAATTAGAAGTCACATTGACAAATGTGGTTTAAGATAAATTTAATTTGTGTAATTCAAAGATAATAAAAACGAAGTACCACATATTTCCCTTTCTTAACCCATCTTGTGTTTCAGTGTTTAAGCCGGATTTCAGTCGCCAACCATTCAGGCCATGTTCTGGAGTTTAACTCAGTTTTCTCATCTCACCAGACTAAAAAGCCCTCAAGCATCAAGTCTGTACTGGAATAGGGAAATAGATGCAGCAGTGTAAACATTTAAAGCCAGCTCATGAAAGCTAAACTATACTAGCAGCAGTGTAAAACTGAATGCAACTCCAATGATATCATCAAAGCCGAGCTTCACAATCAAGCTTATAGCCTTTCCCACAAATAAACAAGTTTAACTTATTTTTTATAGGTTAAAAAATAATATTTTAACAAAAGTTCATTATTAAAGAGATCACATATAAAACAAAACTTTCACTCACATTTCTCCTGAGGCAACTGTTCAACACTTTCAAAGTCCTCTAAACCTGAACTTACTACTAAATTCAATGATTCTCCAAATACACAAAAACTGATGGCTAAATAACAGTAACGAGTGGCTTCATTACTCAGCATAAATCATACCATACAGCTTTCTCAGTGACACACTAATTTTAAGGATGTATTTAACCCATAAACAAAAACAAACAAGCAACTGTTATACCTGAACATGTTCCATAAAAACAAGTTGCTATACCTTCTGTCATTGAACTAATCCTCGATTAGGATATTCAACTACAAAAAGAATAAACATTTTAACAGGTTTCATAAAACACTCAACATACCTCTGTCTTTTCTCTTCATCTTTCAAAACTTCATAGATAGCCACTAACTATAAACAAAAAAAAAGTCAAAATACAAAGTACTTGAACAGAAATACAAAATAAAAGAAAGGCTAAAGAAGAAAAAGGTTGCTCTTACTTGTCTAAATTGAATTTCTGCATTTTCATCTTTGTTTTTGTCCGGGTGTAAGATCAAAGACATTTTCCGATAGGCTTTCCTTATGTCAGCAGATGTAGCATCCTGCAAAATACAAAGTCGACTTTGTCAGAAATATATAAGGCTCTTAGCATAGTGCTATGATCGAGGAAGACAGCAAACCCAGTACAACTCCTCAGGCGATGTAATTTGAGCAACACAAGCAATAGCCACGCTATGCATTCAGCTGCACATGACTAAACAGTCATTGGTTCTGATTTCCTATTCTTTTCCACATCTCTGAACTAGTGCAAGACAAAAAAGTCAATATAATTTCGCCAAAACCTTCTGGATAAGGACTTTGTTCAACAGTGAAGGAACAGGGAGGTGAATACAGCCTATTACTAACATGAAACTGCTTAAACAGAGGCACCTGCTTGCTGGGAGACCAAGTTTCCACTTATTTATGCTCTGCATATTGATGCAACGAATTTTCTTTCTTAAAAATTGCATGCAACTTTAGTATTTCTAACAACGCTTCTACTTTTTGCCAAAGAGAGCTTTCAACCCATGTGTGAGAAGGCTGTAGCTTCAAATTAGCTAGCAATTAGAAGACTTGATAGATCTGTAAAACAGAAAGCAATCAAGCAAGCAGTTTTGCAATTCCAAAATTAAGACATGTTATGCATAAAATATTGTTTTGAAATGTAAAGTAGGGAAATAATAAATCATAGAATTTCAGCTAAGTAGTCTTGCTATGTTATCTTAATCGCAAACAGTTACTACACAGTATTTCTGTCCAACATATTTGCATGCATATTTCCCAGTATAATTCAAATTTTATATAACCCCACCTTACGCAGAGATGGAAGTTATTTTCCTTCAAAGGCTTTCAATAAATAGATTGCAAAATACAATTTGATAATTGATAAAATCTCAACCTTAAATCCAAACCAATAGAAAAAAAATTAAAATTTGCAAAGATCTTCATATTTCAATATTAAACCGAATGCAGCACTTCAACTTTTGCCTACTACCACAGTTTCAAATTCATATTTAAGTGTTACTAATTTTAACAAGAAATCATCTGGAGCAGATGTCACATAAAAAAAAAAGTGGCCAATTCAAGAACTCTGAAATATAAATTGCCTTCAGTACTACAAATGGACTCAGTTTAATTCAAAATGTAGCTCCTCGAGTAACAGATTGACATTAACGCACAATAGTGCTGTCTATGCATTTAGCCCTCAGGTTCAATAATTCTGTTTCTAGTGTGCTTTGTTAATGATTTATGCTTAAAAAATGAAAAAGAGCAGTACAAGAAAGGACTTCTAAAGAATGTGACAAGCAGCACTGAATCATCTGCAGTACCTAAAGCAACTAAGACTTCAGATTACAATTTAAGGTTTAAAACTGAATGTCTGCTACTATAACATTTTAAAATCAATCTGTGTGCTTCGAAAGTAGTAAATACTAAGTAATTTCAAACTTGAAAAATATTCCAACATGAAAAGTATCTACAATCCTTCCTGCACCCTCTCAGTTCATATATGGCAAATTGTTTCAATTCTCTATTAATAAAGCAGCCATATCCTGTAAAACTTTCATTTTGAAATACTGTTGCAAAAGTTATGTGAATGTTGTTAAGAATTACAACAGTCAAAATGTCTGCATAAAACTCAAGGCCTTCACCCAGTTTGGACTCTCTAACAAAGTGTACTAGGAAAGCAATCATTTTCTGCCTATACTACTCTATTTAATATCATGTTTATTAGATGTTTTTACTAAAAACCTGCATATTTGTTGTTTATAATTTAAAATTATGTTAAAACTGTATATACGTCAACACAAAATCCAATGACCTAAACGTAATTGTTCTTAAGTGCTCCACAAGTTGTGCACAAATGACACAAACAAACAAACAAACATTCTAAAGCTGCAACTTATCAAGGCACTACAAAGTAGCTAATTTGTACAAAGAAAGACAGGAGACTCCACACCTAGCAAGTTATCTTGGGATTAAGGAAAAGCCAGTTACGATAAAATGCAACACAAATGGATTATAAAAACAGCATGGAAAGAGAATGGCTGCAAATGAGGGAATCCAATATAAAATTGGAAAAATACAATAAAGTCTAACTGCAATTGAAAGCAAATTGAAATTGAAATAGTGTGTTTTGCAGCTCAAACCTGAACAAAGCCTTGCTATTTAAAACTATAATTTGCTTGGCCTTATTTAGCAGTTTTGTACATGGTTCTTTGTAATACTATTTTCAGATCTAGAATAATGAGCTGGACTAGTGTAGTTGGTTCACAAAGTGGTAAGTCATCGGTTCCTATTTACAACAGGCAAAAATGTTGTATTTCCTGCAACATACTCCCTCCCCGCCTGTCCCATAATATGCTACATTAATCCTTAGGTAAATCAACAGCCAGAATAACGGCAATGCTGCCCAGCAAAGAGCCAGTTCATCATCTTGGAATGGAAAAAAAAAAGCAAAAGCCACAGTTTATGAACTAGTTTAGAGATTTTTTTCAGAAATTTCAGCTATGTACTTGACACTCAGGTGTTACACTTGTGATCAATTTCACATTTTGGATAATTAAATATTTTAATCTTATAAACAAAAATGTTTTGAGATTTCAATGTTTCAAAGTTGTAATTTGCATAAAGCTAACGGGAGAAGTAAACTGGGCATTCAATTACAAGCTCCAGGCTGTGATGTAATTATTTATTACATTTTCAAGTGTATCAGAAAATTAGACCATCAATTAAAAATAAGCCCTGATTGAAACAATTCATCAATTTTGTTCACGTTGTCCTCAATGTGTTTTTTTCCAAATGTTGAAGAAATATTCTGTTGTTCATATGTTGAACAATTTAAATAAATGCGCCAGTGTTCAGTTTGGGTTGAACGAGTTAAGTTTCAAAATTTTAAACTAAAATATCAGCAATTGAGCATCATAGGATGATGTCAGTAAGTGGACGTTTTATTGCACTCGTTTGTTTCTGAATAAAATCATTTTTTAAAACTGGTTCTCCCCTCTAGTCCTCAGGTTGCTTACACTTAAGCGTGGATTTCATTCCCATTTCAACAAGGAACTATTCAACCACAGATAGCATCACAATCAAACCAGCTCTGGCCCAATTCATCAGCCACAAATGCACATTTGATCTAGGGCCATGAGATACGAATTGATGGCAAAGTTATTTTATTTTTCTCGTTTTCCCCACATTGCTGTGGCTGAGATCAGCTTAATTCAGGACATACTAGAATTAACCCTGGGTTGTTTGAACAAAGATGTAGAACAGTTTCATTGGTATTAACCCTGAAATTTACACCATGCAACACCAGCGAGCAAATCTATAACGTTCATCTCTAACATTTGTTTTTCCATTGTCTGGGTGGAAATATCGGCAAGTTAACACCTTCTCAAAAATAACGGAGTTGTGAAGATAGCCAGTTAAGTGCACATCTACTCATATTCCACAACATAATTTCTGTGCCACTGTTTCTCATCAGAATTACATCAATTTCTCTTTTAAAATAAATAAAATGATTGTAAAACACTTGCCACTTTAACCCATTTGACAAAAATGCAAGTTACCATGGAAACTACTAGGTTATATAGCACAATGAAACTAGATTAACAGATGTGGTTGGACAGACAGAGTTACTATAGTACACTGGGTAAGTGACTATCTTTACAAATATCAATTTAAATTGTCTGCTATCTCAGACTTGGTACCTCAACACTCACCACTTACATGAGATATCTTTTACTCCCTTCCACCAAAACTAAAATCCAATAAAAATAGCCAATGTTATCAAAATTTTTATGCAATAAGTTTCAATTAAAAAAAAACATAAGACTTCTATAATATTGTACAGTGAAAATCAATTGCATGCAAGATTGAAGAGTTCTCCTACAGTCCCTTACCTAGCCTCAAAAACATAAATGTTATTCATCCTTCAGTTCTTGGCTTACATTTACAAACCATCATTGATTACGAAGGTCGAATCTAATTTTAATTAGGACAGTATTTTGTTTGCACAGACATAGCCTTGTTTCTTGTAGCTGGTAGCAGAATAATAAAACTGTGTGAAATGCATGCTCCCTGACAAGTTAGATTTACTTGTATTATATTTAATCTATGCCTGGCCTTGGAAAGAATTCTGAAACAAGGTTAGCACAACAAAAACTAAAATTATCAGGATTGCTACCAGTGCATTTGTTTTGTGTCTCTTAGGCAGTTATTCTTGCAAATGCACTGTGTTGATGCACAACCCCTGTTAATTAATTAAGCAGAAAGCTGGAACTATTTCACCATAACACGCAGAATTATAGTACAAAGCACCTTTATTTGCCACAATAACATACTGTACCAACAGATCGTATCAGTATTCAAACCCATGATAATTGTCTAATTTCTTCTCTGCATCACAAGAATATTAGTTATGATAATCGAAATAAAAGAGGAGAAACAGCTATAAAGCTCTTTTCATTTAAACGAAAATCACGTTTAGGTATTTAATTAAGTCATCTAATAGCAAAGACATTGCAAAACAAAAAAAGGATGGAGTGCAACATATACTCCAAAACATGGTAAATGGCATAACAGCAAATGAAAGATCAGTATCACCCAGGATGAAATACTTCATAGCTCAGTACATAGTGGCTTTAACTGTTAGTTAATTTGTTAAAGATAGAAACAGTGACTAAGCTACATTTCCTAATGTGAATTATTTGAAGTGGGAACTACACTGAGGCATGAACTGATTCGGTGGATGCCATGTAGATTCCATATCCCAACCTAAAATTTTAATTAACTCATCTTCACTAAATTAAACAAAAAATCCTCAAAATCAAATGCAAATATAAAAATTTGCTTGCCTACAATTCACTATTTAAGGTGATGCCAAGAGAATAATTTTCAACACAGCTCTCCCTACTGCCTTAGAATTTCAAAGCTAAAGATTTAATAGTAGATAAACCAGAGTAGGTTGGTTCTACTGGGCAGAACAAAAAGAAAACGCAACAGTTCTTATTGTAAGCAATTATCTTGGTTAATTGAGAGTGGTTACATTTAACCTCTGCCTAGCAAGGCCAGATGTATGGGTGGAAATCAATGCGATGTTGAGCTGTTGCTCTCAACCAACACAAAAGAAGGTTCAGAAGGATTTGTGCTTAGAAGGGTGATG